ACCTGATGATGATGATTGCTCGTGTTGCAGTCGAAACGTCGTGAGAATTTTATTGTTTTATATTTTTATTATTTTGTTGTTGCCCTTCTACGTGACTTTACCGAAAGAACCAATAATATAAAGCAAACGTAATTGAATATTTTGCCACCTCTAACATCACTAAAGTTGGGTATTGTGCACTTTTCATAGAGGGCTTCATGATTAATAGCAAATGTTAAAATGTTACAGGGGGTCTGAGCGGAAGGTGCATTGGCTAATGCACTGCGGTATGATATCGGCGAACAAGAGTTCAGCTACCGGTCATGGCCAACACATCGGTGACATCTCATCCAGTGCTTTAGCCCTCTTCACCCTTCACCGACCAGCACTGACCGGCTTGGTGAAGTATGGTCAAAATGACCCACGGGAAATGGGGGGGAGGCCTTTGTCCAGTAGTGGACTGACAAAAGGGGCTTCTCCACTTGTCCGTTTTTATCATTACCACTGCTTGCAGAAAAGCTATTCCGTGAAGCAATATGCCACCAGAGTTGTTTTCGTTAAAGAAAAAACAAAAATAGTTTGTTTTTTTTAAACAGGCAACTTACAAGGTCACTGCATCCAGCTAAGGGGCCAAGGTTATTACCGACCAGCTTGATTGACATATCGTGGATAGGTCACGTGGCCAACACCGAGTGGAAAGGCCTTCCTGCAGTCACAAGTTGATTGGCAAAAATGGGCTGTACTTAATTAAATATGCGTATGAAAACCACACACACACGCTTGTAGGCAATTCCTCCAGTGCTCGGTGAGATCCTCGCTTAATGTTTCATCTGCCCCCCACCACTTCTGGCCCCGTTATCGCGACGTGAATGAACATGGCACCGGTATTGATCAGCGCGCTTCGCGTCGGTTTTCAAACATCACGTTGGTGCCACACTTTGCGAAGGGTCCGATGTCCATCGCAGCATCGTCGTCTGCGTTTCGCCACTGTGGGAAATGAGCAAGCTGCAACGCGACGTGGCTGATAACGCCCGCTGCCTTCGCTGCTATTGCGCGTCTGAAGCTTTGTACGTGCGACAGCCGCCGCGACGAGACGAAAGTTGGTTGGCGGGCGGGCGGGCGGGATTCACTTTTGTTTGTTCCAAGTCTGACCCTGTAAACCGCCGCCACCCGCCGGTCGTAAAAAAAAAATACCGCCGCGTTTGCGTGAAGGAATAGAACACGAAACGATGAGAAAACAAACCCGGATCGTGTTTTGATTGGTGTTGTTGAAGGTGCGGGATGGGGGGGACGGTGTGGGAAGGGGGGCAAGGCCAGCCCCCATAAAGGCATCTCATTAGGGGAGCTGGTTTGCCCTAATCATGGCACACGAGCCGTCCTACTGGCGGGGTTATACGGTGCGCATTGTCCACGCGTCTAATGCCCAACTGCTCCCCAGTCTGTGCCAATTTCTCTCCTCTGGTTCCCCTCTGCCACACCAGAGACGCTATCTGTGACCATGACCTTGTTACGATGGGGTTATTAAGCCCGGCTGGTGTCTCGCGCGGTGAAGGTTCCTCGGAACATAAACAACTAAGGGCTGGAGTGCGTGGGGAAGGGGGTGAGTGAAACGTGCGCCCATGTGGGTTTATCCACGGTACATCTCATCGTTCATAAAAACACACACACATACAACGAGGGCTTGCACAGAGTAAACAAAGCGACGACTATACGCGTGCAGCAGGAGCGTGCAGCAACGGTGTACAGCAACAGTGTACAGCAACAGTGTGCAGCAACAGTGTGCAGCAGGAGCGTGCAGCAACAGGGTGCAGCAGGAGCGTGCAGCAACAGTGTGCAGCAGGATTGTGCAGCAGGAGCGTGCAGCAGGAGCGTGCAGCAGGAGTGTGCAGCAATAGCGTGCAGCAGGAGGGTGCAGCAATAGTGTGCAGCAGGAGCGTGCAGCAGGAGCATGCAGCAACAGGTTGCAGCAACAGATTGCAGCAACAGTGTGCAGCAACAGTGTGCAGCAACAGTGTGCAGCAAGAACGTGCAGCAAGAACGTGCAGCAGGAGCGTGCAGCAGGACTGTGCAGCAAGAGCGTGCAGCAGGAGCGTGCAGCAGGAGCGTGCAGCAGGAGCGTGCAGAAGGAGCGTGCAGCAACAGTGCAGCAAGAGCGTGCAGCAACAGTGTGCAGCAACAGTGTGCAGCAACAGCGTGCAGCAAGAGCGTGCAGCAACAGTGTGCAGCAGGAGCGTGCAGCAGGAGCGTGCAGCAGGAGCGTGCAGCAACAGTGTGCCGCAACAGTGTGCCGCAACAGTGTGCAGCAACAGTGTGCAGCAAGAGCGTGCAGCAGGAGTGTGCAGCAGGAGCGTGCAGCAGGAGTGTGCAGCAACATCGTGCAGCTCTCACTTTCACCCGCCGCTGCCGCTAATCACCGATGGGTTCAGGATATGTCACGCGAGGGAACGGAGAGGGAAGAGGGAAATAAATCTACCTCTGCTTCTTTTTTCTTTTAAATCCCCAGGCCAGCTGTGGCTAATGCAATTAATTAAACGAGTCACGGGATACGCCCACCACATTATCAGCACCTGGCGTGCGGATTTAGATGGAGATGGGGGGGGGCAGAGGCAATAATCTTGTCTCACTAACCTTCACGAGCATTGAATAGCAATATACTATTTATTTTACGTAATTCGCAGGCATTAAAAAAAAATCCTTGTTTTTGCCATTTATTTGGTTGGTAGGGACGGTCCTCTTCTGGAATTTAAATGGCCAAATCACCTTTAATGTCCCCCGATCTCGGCAGACCTTGGAAGCTAAGCAGCTTCCGAGCCTGGTTAGTACTTGAATCGGTGGACCACGATAATGAGCTGAGCTCTGGTTTTTCTCCGACAGGAAGCCAAACACTCATTAATGGAATGTGCCAAACATCCCAATGTAGCGGGACCCACTTTATGAAGAGACTTGAGAGTCGGTAACGCCTTCCTTGGTAAATATTTGGCCTCATTAATGCACTCTCCTTTGCCACTTCAGATTCAGAATATTTATTTATACTGGAGAAATCCGATGAGCTATAAAGCTCTTTTTTCATAGATCACCACTTGGTGATTAATCACTGAACCAGTCCTTGCTACCCCCCCCACTCACCACCTCCCCTGACCATCTTGGTGAAGTATGGTCAGAAAAAAACCCGACGATTGAGATGGCGTGGGAAGGGCCTTTGCCCATTGACAAAGCACTGAAAATCAACTAATTATAATTGGTAATCGAATTTTGGGTCTGGAAGTGAAATGTGTGTCGTGCGCCCTCCTCCACCCGACACGGCCAGCTCATGAAGCTGTTGCGAAAAAAAAGACAGTGTCAATTCGTGTTACTGCTTTCAGCCACACCGCTGCGTTGGAGAGCTGCTCACCAACAATATTTGACGAAGTAGCGCGAATTATTTGCAAATGGGAACACGTGTATCCATGTGGGGTCCCATTTCATTTTGCGGTTTAAATATTTTTTTCTTACAACTAACCCAACATTCTGCAACCCCCCTTCCCGGTTCCGGAAAGAAATCGGAGCGAGATGAAACACTCTCTCCCCGTCGCTCGCTCACTCCGCGTGTACTCGCAAACCCCGCTCCCCGAAATACTGAGCATCTGCAAAGAAAATCATAAAAAATTCAGTTTCGCATCCGTCTTCTGTGCCCGTGATGAGCGATGCCGCGCCATTAAAATGTGGCAATTGTTGTAAATCTGCAAGTAGTGGGTGAGGAATGGGCTGCCAGGGTAGGTGAGCCTCCTGCCCGTGGCTGTCTCTCGAGGCGGTTCCTATCGTGCACGGGTCTTCCGTACCCCCCCCCATCCCAAGCCCTTGAGCCAAATTGTTTTTTCGCCACCCCCCCCCTCCACCACCAAAATGAAATAATCACTCATTTCCAGCACGGCCCGGTCAATAAAACAAACGGCGCGCGCCGTGATGAACGCGTTATAATACCCGCGCGGCTGCGAGCGCGGTGAAATTATGGTGGGCGTGTGGGAGGAGGGGGGGGGGGGGTACCGTACTGCTTGCCGGCAGGTTTCCGGAGGTGCGCGGGGCTGCTAATTTGGCCGTTTGCAGGCGAGCTGAAACTTAATTGGGGGCAGGCTCAAATGATTGCTGGGCTGCGGTACTGAGCCTGGGTGGGTTTAGGTGCGCGCGGTCTCCTATATCTCCCTCCCGGATATAAATCGTGAACGTACGCTGCGTGCGTGCGCACGAGATAACTCGAGTTCTCCGACGCTTGTACGGTAAGTGAACATTACAGTTTCACGTAACCCCCTCCGCAACGTCCAAACCACGCAGCTCAAGCTTTGTGCGGCGTTATTAATTTTCTGATGGTGGACTATGCCCACTGCCAAACGGCTCGGAACGCAGCTGGATCTTGCCGCATCTGGGAAGCTAAGCAGAACCTAAGCCTGGACAGAGCTTCCGGGGCTACGCGATGGACAGCAGCGGGCAGTGTGGCAAAATACAGTATGCTCTCTCGTGCTACAATACTTCTGTGGTCCCACGTTTATTGCTTCCCCGCCTTTACCTTGACAAACCCGCACTGACCAGCGTGGTGAAGTATGGTCCAATAACCCCGCCGTGACCCGCACGACAATGGGGAGGCAGTCGTCCAGCGGTGGGGCGACGAAGGGGCTGTACGAATTCTCGGGCAGCGTTAGAGACCTGTGTGGTGGTCAGAGTTTTGTTTATTTGCCGGTCCTGCGAGTGCTCTAAGGCTGTAACGGCCGCCAGGCAGCTTCGCAACCGCACGTCCTCTCCAAAGGACGCAGCGACGCTTTACAGCTCCGCACCGCCTCCACCGCCTGCGGCCCCATAACTCGCGTTAATGAGTCCTCCTGCCTGCAATTTAACCCCACGGTCCACTGCTGCCAGCCTCTCCTCCCACTTACCCCTGCGTCGCCCCAACTGGGTCTCCTCACTCATTTCCACCCCATTGACCATCAACTCTCCTTTACACTGTCACATCTTCCCCCCCCCCCTCCACTCTCACCCTCTGCCACCCACAGAATTCTCAAGCAGAAGGTGGAGGACGAGAAGAAGCTGAAGGTGCTGACGGGGGAGTGGTTCTACGAGGTGAAGGGCAAGAGGCACGATGATCGGCTGCACGGCTCCGACCTGGTGCGGGCGTCCATGCGCAAGGGCAAGTCGGCGCCACGGCCAGGCGGTGAGGCTCTTCCGCTCAGACTCAGGGTGGTCGGTCACTTTTTCCGGGCGCGCGCTCAGTCGCTCGCTCAGTCGCTCGCTCGCACAGTCAGTCGCTCGCTCAGTCGCTTGCTCAGTCGCTCGCTAAGTCGCTCACTCAGTCGCTTGCTCACACAGTCAGTCGCTCGCTCAGTCGCTCGCACAGTCAGTCGCTCACTCAGTCACTCACTCAGTCGCTTGCTCGCACAGTCAGTTGTTCGCTCAGTCGCTCGCTCAGTCGCTTGCTCGCACAGTCAGTCGCTTGCTCAGTCGCTCGCTCAGTCAGTCGCTCGCACAGTCAGTCGCTCGCTCAGTCGCTCGCACAGTCAGTCGCTCGCACAGTCGCTCGCTCAGTCGCTCGCTCAGTCGCTCGCTCAGTCGCTCGCTCAGTCGCTTGCTCAGTCGCTTGCTCGCACAGTCAGTCGCTCGCTCAGTCGCTCGCACAGTCGCTCGCTCAGTCGCTCGCTAAGTCGCTCACTCAGTCGCTTGCTCACACAGTCAGTCGCTCGCTCAGTCGCTCGCACAGTCAGTCGCTTGCTCAGTCGCTCACTCAGTCGCTTGCTCGCACAGTCAGTCGCTCGCTCAGTCGCTCGTTCAGTCGCTTGCTCGCACAGTCAGTCGCTCACTCAGTCGCTCACTCAGTCGCTCGCTCGCACAGTCAGTCGCTTGCTCAGTCGCTCGCACAGTCAGTCGCTCGCTCAGTCGCTCGCACAGTCAGTCGCTCACTCAGAGTCGCTCACACACTTTGCACGTCATAAGCGGCGGGTGAAAATATTCATTAGGGCAGCTGAAATACATTTTTTTAGTGGGCTGGAATAATAATTAGAATTATTTCATTATGATTATAGAAATTTACAAATTTGGAAATGTACGGAAGTGAGAGGAGGCCAAGGTTGCCGCTGGTAGAGCGTGTGGCCGATTGTGGTTCCCGATGGTATCCGTCCACCACTCGCTCTGCCCGTGGGCGACCTTGCCTTCCCAGAATCAGAAAGGGTTTTATTCGCCATGAAAGTTCACACTGACACGGAATTTACTTTGGCAGGATGGTGCATACATTCAACATATAGAAATCTAAAATCTTAAACAAGTATTAAACAAGTCTTACTATAATAATAAGGGTTAAAAGTCTAACTAACACCAAGGCGCTGAAGTATATAAAATTGAATAAATATCGAATATAAAATAGCTTTAAGATATAATTTAAAAATAAAAAAATACAAATAGGTTAACATCGTTAATATCGGCAAGGTATCATTATGTAGATAAAATGTTAAAATCAGTGTAAGCCCTTGGCCTTGTTTAACAGGCCAGCAGCAGATGGGAAGAAACTGTTTTTATGGCCTGAGGTTTTGGTCCTGATGGACCGAAGCCTTCTGCCGGAGGGGAGTAGCTGAAACAGAGAGTGTCCAGGGTGGGAGGAATCGGCCACAATCTTCCTCGCTCGCCTCATGGTCCTTGTCGTGTGCAGGTCCTCGAGGGTTGGTAGATTGCAGGCAATTACCTTCTCAACAGTGTGGATGATACGCTGCAGTCTGCTCTTGTCCTTGGCAGTGGCAGCAGCGTACCAGACGGTTATGGAGGAGGTGAGGATGGATTCAATGATCGCTGTATAGAATTGCACCATCATTGTCTTTGGCAGGTTGAATTTCTTTAGCTGCCGTAGAAAGTACATCTTCTGTTGAGCTCTCTTGGTGAGGGAGCTGATGTTCAGTTCCCACTTGAGGTCCCGGGAGAGAATAGTGCCCAGGAAGCGGAAGGACTCTCCAATTTTGACTGTGGAGTCTAACAGGGTGATGGGGGTGAGTGGGGCTGTATTCTTCCTGAAGTCCACAACCATCTCAACTGTCTTTAGAGCATTTAGCTCTAAGTTGTTCTGGCTACACCAGGTCACCAGGTTGTCAGCTTCCCACCTATAGTCAGACTCATCCCCACCAGAGATCAGCCCAATGAGGGTGGTGTCATCCGCAAACTTCAAGAGTTTGACGGACAGATGATTGGAGGTGCAGCTGTTGGTATACAGGGAGAAGAGCAGTGGGGAAAGGACGCAGCCCTGAGGTGTTCCGGTGCTGATGGACTTGAAGTCAGAGACTTGTGTTTCCAGCTTAACGCACTGCTTCCTGTCAGACAGGAAGTCTGTGATCCACCTGCAGGTGGAGTAGGGCACGTTCAGCTGGAAGAGCTTGTCCTGAAGCAGGGCAGGGATAATGGTATTGAAGGCAGAGCTGAAGTCCACAAACAGGATCCTGGCGTAGGATGCTGGGGCGTCCAGATGCTGTAGGGTGAAGTGGAGGGCCATGTTAACTGCGTCGTCCACAGATCTGTTGGCTCTGTAGGCAAACTGAAGGGGATCCAGGAGAGGGTCTGTGATGGCTTTGAGGTGTGCCAGGACCAGGCGCTCAAAAGACTTCATTACCACAGATGTAAGGGCGACCGGTCTGTAATCATTTAGTCCTGTTGGCCTTAGATTTTTGGGCACAGGGATGATGGTGGAGGACTTGAGACAGGCTGGTACATGGCATGTCTCCAGGGAGGTGTTAAAGATGTTGGTGAACACCGGAGACAGCTGGTCAGCGCAGTGCCTGAGGGTGGCTGGAGAGACAGAGTCCGGCCCGGCTGCTTTGCGTGGATTCTGCCTCTTGAAAAGTCTATTAACTTCTCCCTCCTGAAAGGAGAGAGTCGTCTCTGTAGTATGGGTGGGGGATGGGGCCTCTTGGGTGGGAAGGGGTGGTTCAGGACAGTCCAATTGTCTTTCAAATCTACAGTAGAACTCGTTCAGGTCGTTGGCTATGCGGGAGTCGTTAGTGGTGTGGGGGGCTCTGGGTTTGTAGTTGGTGATCTGCCTGAGCCCTCTCCAGACAGAAGCAGCGTCGTTAGTAGAGAACTGGTGTTTTAGTCTCTCTGAGTACAGTCGTTTAGCCTCTCTCACCGCTTTGCTAAACCTGTTCTTTGACTCCTTGAATCTGTCTCTATCCCCACTCCTAAACGCTTCCTCCTTCTCTAACCTCAACCTTCTGAGCTTTGCTGAGAACCAGGGCTTGTTGTTGTTAAAGTTCACCCTGGTACGTGTTGGGATACAGCAGTCCTCACAGAAGCTGATGTAGGACGTCACAGCCTCTGTGAGTTCATCCAGACTATTGGTAGCAGTCGTGAACATATCCCAGTGAGTACAGTCTAAGCACGCCCGCAAATCTTCCACAGCCTCACTGGTCCACTGTTTAGATGTCCTCACAGCAGGTTTACAGAGTTTTAGTTTCTGCCTGTATGCAGGAATCAGGTGGACCATGGCATGGTCAGAGTGTCCTAGTGCTGCTCGGGGGACGGCGTGGTAGGCTCTACTGACTGTAGTGTAGCAGTGATCCAGAGTGTTCCCTTCTCTGGTTGGGCATTTAATGAATTGTATGTATTTGGGGAGTTCGTGGCTGAGATTACCTTTGTTAAAGTCGCCAAGTACGATAACCAACGAATCTGGATTTGCTCGCTCCACACTCAGAATCTGATCGGCGAGCATGCGTTGGGCCTCTTTAACCTGAGGACAAGGCGGCAAATAAACTCCGACCAAAATGAGCCACGCGAACTCGCGAGGCGAGTAAAACGGTTTACAGGTTATAAAAATTGATTCAAAGAGTGGAGAACAATGTTGCAGAATCACTGTGACATCTACACACCAGCCACTGTTAATGTAAAAACAAATACCACCGCCTTTCGTCTTGCCGGAGAGTGCAATGTCAAGATCCAATCTTACAAGATGGAATCCTGCTAGTTGTAGCGAAGTGTCCGGAATCAAATCACACAGCCATGTCTCCGTGAAGCACAAATCAGAAGATGAAAGAAAGTCTTTGTTTTTTACCATCAGTAGCTGAAGTTCATCCATTTTGTTGTACAGTGAACGTACGTTGGAGAGGAAAAAGCTCGGAAGCACTGTTCGGATCCCGCGTCTGCGTAGCTGTACTAGAGCCCCCGACCGTTTACCCCTTGGGCGGCGTTTCACTGCTTGAGCAAAGCCTAGCGCGGCATTGACTAGAATGCCTACTAATTCTGCCGCTGGAAGCAGAAAAGTAGGAATTAAATCCACAGGAGTTGTTTCCCTGATATATAAAAGTTCGTCTCTTGTTAGAGAACTCCGAAAATCTTGGCAAAACACTGATTTGACAGACAAAACAAGACAAAACAGGGCGCACGGGTGTACTGAACAGCAGGACTCTCTCACCAGCACTGGTGTGATGAACAGTAGGCCCCTCTCACCAGCACGGGTGTGATGAACAGTAGGCCCCTCTCACCAGCACGGGTGTGATGAACAGTAGGCCTCTCTCACCAGCACGGGTGTGTTGAACAGCAGGCCCCTCTCACCAACACGGGTGTGATGAACAGCAGGCCCCTCTCACCAGCACGGGTGTGATGAACAGTAGGCCCCTCTCACCAGCACGGGTGTGCTGAACAGCAGGCCCCTCAACACGGGTGTGCTGAACAGCAGGCCTCTCTCACCAGCACGGGTGTGCTGAACAGCAGGCCCCTCAACAGCAGGCTCCTCTCACCAACACGGGTGTGATGAACAGCAGGCCCCTCTCACTAGCACGGGTGTGATGAACAGTAGGGCCCCTCTCACCAGCACGGATGTGCTGAACAGCAGGCCCCTCAACACGGGTGTGCAGAACAGCAGGCCTCTCTCACCAGCACGGGTGTGCTGAACAGCAGGCCCCTCAACAGCAGGCCTCTCTCACCAGCACGGGTGTGATGAACAGCAGGCCTCTCTCACCAGCACGGGTGTGTTGAACAGCAGGCCCCTCTCACCAGCACGGGTGTGATGAACAGCAGGCCTCTCTCACCAGCACGGGTGTGTTGAACAGCAGGCCCCTCTCACCAGCACGGGTGTGATGAACAGCATGCCTCTCTCACCAGCACGGGTGTGTTGAACAGCAGGCCCCTCTCACCAGTACGGGTGTGTTGAACAGCAGGCCCCTCTCAAGACAAAACTGGACAAAACAG